TGCTGGGGTTTTGGGGAAGACAGTCCCAGAATACTTGTAAAGCACCACACTGCAAAAGGTGAGTCTGTGATTATTCATTTACTACAGCTTTCAATCAAGCTATCGGCTGAGAGAAATGTTATGAATTGACGAACTTCGACCATTATGGTTAAAGTAATAAAACTTAAGGACTGACAAAAACAATTGGGATATCTAATTAAAAACCTAATTTAACAAATAACAGATAATCAGAGTTGGAAGGGACCTTGTAGGTCATCTAGTCCAACCCCCCGCCTAAGTGGGAGACCCTACACCACTATTGACAAATGGCAGTCCAATCTCTTCTTGAACGTCTCAACTGATGGTGCTCCCACAACTTCCGAGGGCAACTTCTGTTCCATTGGTTGATTGTTCTCACTGTCAGAAAGTTTCTCCTTATTTCCAGGTTAAATCTCTCCTTGTTCAGTTTCCATCCATTGTTCCTTGTCTGGCCTACAAGTGCTTTAGAAAATAGCTTGACCCCTTCCTCTCTGTGGAAGCCCCTCAAATATTGGAAGACTGCTCTCCTGTCTTCCCTGGTCCTTCTCTTCACTAGACTAGCCAAGCCCAGTTCCTGCAACCGTTCATTGTATGTTTTAGCCTCCAGTCCCCTAATCATCCTGGTTGCTCTTCTCTGTACTTTTTCTAGTCTCAACATCTTTTTTATAATGTGGTGAACAAAACTGGATGCAGTACTCTAGGTGTCATCTTACTAAGGCTTTATAGAGTGGTATTAATACTTCCCTTGATCTTGATTGTATCCTTCTGTTAATACAACTGAGAATTGCATTAGCTTTTTTGGCTGCTGCTGCACACTGCTGGCTCATATTTACTTGGTTGTCCACTAAGATTCTAAGATCCCTCTCACAGTTACTGCTATTGAGCCTGGTTTCACCCAGTCTATATGTGTACTTTTGGTTTTTCTTGCCTAAGTGTAGGACTTTTCTCTACATTGAATTTCATTTTGTTAGATAGGGCCCAGCGTTCTAGTCTGTCAAGATCCATCTGAATCTTGAGCCTATCTTCCTGGGTGTTAGCTATTCCTGCCAGCTTAGTATTATCTGCAAATTGGTTAAGTTCCCCTTCTATTATCTCATCTAAGTCATGAATGGAAGATATTGAAGAGTACTGGGCCTAAGACGGAACCTTATGGCATCCCACTGCTAACTTCCCTCCATGTAGACTTAGACCCATTAAAATTTACATGTGAAGCATTGTGAATATTGTGACTTCCTTCTAGTGACAGCTCAATTCAGAGAACTCCACAGATATTTGGATTGCTGTGGAGTTTGAATTAAGCCTGCCAAAGGATAAGAAATGCTGAAGGACAGTGGCAATAACTAGTAAACCAATGTTTCTCGACCTTGACAACTTTAAAAAATGGGTGGATTTCAATGCCCAGAATTTTCCAGCCAGCATGTAAACACTAATTAGTGCTGGCAAGGGTCACTCAATGATTAGTTTTTGTTTCGAAAAACAATGTGCAAATTCCAAGGTAAGAAGATTCAATCCATTAGCATTGCTGTAGCTTTTAAGAGGTGGTTTCCTATTTCGTTTTCCACTTTCTTTTGGGTAGCTTTGCTCTTTTAAGAGTTTTTCTTTATTTCTCTTATCACTCTTTTATTGTTTTCCTTCTTCTACTCTTTGGAGCTACTGCTGTTTATCCTTTTTCTTATCAACTTTCTTTGCATTTGATGCTGATCACCAGCCAGTCTATCATGATGATGGCAGTAATATTTTGACCGTCATCATAGCCATGGGTCGAGAAATTATCCCAAGCTAAATAACATCAGAGTTCAAACATATGAGAAAAGCCTCAAAAGTTATGACTAACACATTCAGTTTTCTGGAAAGCCGGATTTATCCCAAGAACCCTGAAACTTTTTTTAAAAAAATGCAAGATAATAGACTAGCTTAAATTAAAAATTAATTCTCTAGAAGAGTATCATCAAAGGAACCATTTATTTAAATATGCTTTAAATAGTAATTTCCCAAGTGGAAGATGTTTGATGCAGAACATCAAAAACCAAAACAGAAACAGACCCAAAGAACATATTTGAGTAACATTGTAAACATGGTAGAAACAGACTGAAAAATGTTTGACAGAGAATGAGTAAAGCATCCCACTTGCTTCAGTGTACAATTTAAATTGTAGTTTATTTAAATTCAGATTTGCTCTCTTAATTCTTTTTGAAGTGCCAGGTAAACCAAATCCTGCATTGTCATATTCCTCCTGAATTCTCTTATGTGTTTGTGAATGTTCTGAATAGATTTGATGCCACGTGGCCTCCTCCGTCCCATTATTAACCATATATTCTCTAACATATCACAGATCCTCACTTTCCAACAACAATTGCCACACCCAACAAAACAGTTTGCTGAACAATAAAATGAATCAGGGGGCTTCTTAGAAAATGAGCACGAGTGCTTCTAATCAGCTACTGAAAATAATAAAGGAACCTTTGGTAGACAGACAGAAAACACAAAAATAATAAATCATAGTTTTTCCAATCCAAAGGACTAAAATACATTTGTTGATAATAGGAATAAATGACTTAAATTAGATGTTCTGCATTGTGCTACATTCCCAGGAGGAAGCATGATAGTTGCATCTCACAACGATCTTCAAGAAATCCAATGTCTTAATGCAGCCTGACTTTTAAAAGTGGAACAGATTAACGCAAATGGACTTGAAAATCCATTTTGGTTTCATTGCCTGGTGCAATCTCTTAATATGAGATATGAAAGCCAGAGAATGCAAATGGAAGCTGTTCAAATTAAATGGTTTTAATTATTCAGCGTAGCGGGCGCACAGGAGACATTGGCAGGTTTTCCTGACTTTCGCCATCTCTTGGTTTCTGTCCAGAGTGCTGATAGTTGGCTAGCATAAAATACAACTTCATTGTTAGCAAGTTTCATTGATAGAATCCTAGGGCTGTTCATAAGGGGCACAGGAGGGGTAATTACCTTCCAGCCTTGGCAATCTCTCTCATCTTTTGATCGGGCCACAGCAAGGAGCCTGAGGAAACAGTATAGCAATGACCAAAGTTGGAAAGAAATGGAGAGATGCCATCCAGAATTATTGCAGCCTCTCGCTAGAGAATATGTTAATACATCCTTGTGCTCTGCTTTTCTGAACTATACAAATAAAAGAACACCAGGCCCTAAGAAGGACAAAAGGAACCTGGAATATTGCTCCACAGTGTGCAAAGCTTGCAGGTTGCTTAACTCCAAACAAAATATAAAATCACTATGGAACTGAAAGTAGTGTGGCGGATATTTGCATTGGTGGGTGCGTTCACTCCTCTTAAAAGAGTTAATTTTGGCCATCTGCACCTCAATAAATCACAGTATCCCCAAAGTGTGATATTAGCAGCCCTTGTTTTTCATTTTGACGATTTAAAGCCATCCAAAATTAATAACAATAAAGTTTTGGACTGGATGAGGGTCGAGATGTGTCCAATTTCAGGGTCAACATTAAAATTGCTACCCTATCATAATTTTTGTTTGCTTTTGGACCAAGAAATCTGAGTTTTTGGCTAGATTGTTTTATACTTTTCAGTGCCTGCCACAATCTGGATGTTATGCTAGGTTGTTTTTCTCCAGTTTTATTCTTTTTTTCTTTGTTTGGTAATATTCCAGCAGAAATTTAAAATCTCAGAAGATATATATTAAAAACATAAACACCTAGATGAAATACATATATCAGAATAAGCTTCTCAGATATTCCTTTAACCGTCAGACAATAAAAAAGCTTGTTTTCCAGAATTCTTCTTCTTCAATAAATCCACACTTTCTGCAGATCTCCTTGATGTGACCCTGCTGGTTAATGGGCACGAGATAATTTGAAATTGAAAGACTACTATCATTATCTTAGCCGTAGAGATATGTGCTATCAGTACACTGATTCTTAATAAACAAGGTTTATAAAGTGAAATAATAAATCATATGCATGAAGAAAGCCAAGCAAATGATTGTTATTATTTTCTCCTTAGAATTTGATAAACCTATATATCTCCTTTGATTCTTCTCTGCAGGGCTCCATGCAAAGCTGGATTAATTTATTATGATTTCCGTAAAATGTTCTTTTAGCGGAGAAAGTCTCCAGTACTTTAATAAGAAAACAACCCCCCCAAAAAACATTTTCTTCAACAATTCATATCAAATATGATATGAATCACTAGTTGCAGTGTGATTGCAATGATAAGACAATCAAAGGAAAACAGTGTCCTTTTCCACATACCATTTTGCCAGAGTGTTTTATGCTGTTTTGTTTGTTTTAAAGGGCACTTAAAGCAAAAATCCCTAAATGAAAAGGATCTTTACAGAATAGATGTATAATCTGTACAGCTATTATAAAGGAAGGTTACTGAATGACAAAAGAGCTGGGTGAGAAAGGAATTGGGTAGAATTTGACAAAAAAACACACTTTAAAACTTGAAATCTTGTTCTTTCACCTGGAGTAAATCAGTATTATCATCTCATTTTTGCAATATTCAACATGAAGCTATATTTTTCCCCTTCAGCCATCTAAGACCTATTTTTTTTTAAATTCTTAAAAGCCTTGTGAGACAAGAATAGTTATGTAAAAAAGAAAACACATATAAGAGTAGTTATAGTTCATTAAATATGCTTTTAAAGAAATATTGCATTGCCTCAATTGTATGAGCAAAAATGAGAAACACAAGGTCAATATTTGATGTCAGTCCTGAAATCTTACCATTATCTCTGTGGTTTTGAAATACCTTGGTCTGTCTCTCTCTCTCTCTCTCTTTCTCCTAGTAACGTTTATGTACTTGGCAGCATGTACATTTAAAATCCAAATGGATTTTGTGTTCATCATACAATCATTTACCATTAAAATAATTTCAAAATCCTTAAGATTTCCTCTATTATACCTAGATATTTTGACATAAAAAGATGTATTCATTTGAAATATTTATTAGTTCCAAAAATTATATAAGACACACATATACAAAATCTTGGGTATTAATTACATTTTATTGATGTAATACAAATCTGTGGGCTTTTCCATATGAAATTAAACACTAGTGCAACTAGTTTGTTATAGTATATTTGAGATGTACAGGTGATTGCAAGGTAGTTGTATCTTTCATATTTTATATTTACATATTTAGTACATTTTTTTTATTTACATTACTAAGCATATACTATAGATAGAAATTGTTTATATGCACTGTACATTTAATATCGCATTTATGACAAGAGGACTTTGAGCCTTCAATATAACATTACAGATCATGCTAAATTATTGAATTGTTCCAATATCTTTTCTATGTTAGTAAATCTTAATATATTGATATTAGATAGCAATTCAAAATTTTAACAAAGAGATGTAAAAGAAATATTTTTTCCATATAACAGCTGGTTGGGATGGCACTTTTCCTGAGTTATACAAAGAAATCAAAACACAATTTCAAGGAAAAAAAAATAAGTACACAGAAAATCTACCCTATGGCCAAATACCCAATTTTTATAAAACAACATTGGAGGACAGAGTATTCCTTTATTTCTGATGTACTCAAGTTGTTCTTTTTCACAGCATGGAATATTATTCAGTTTTGAAGAAGAAGCAAAAATGATTCTAACAAAGCCTGAAAGTCATATCGAATGGAATTAACTTTTTTTTTCATTTCTCCTAATACATTTAACACAGACCCATTTTACATAAGAGAAATTCCTATGCATATTATACAATTTAAAAAGTACAAATCCATGTGCTCTATATCTTATTTTCCTTTTTTTTTAACGATTCATACAATTTTCACTCCCAATGCATTTCAGCTGGTTTGTTTGTTTTTCCTTGGGGGGGGAGGTTAATTTATTTTATTTGACACAACCTGACAAATTAAAAATAATAATGCACTGAACTTTAAAGTGTCCTTATGTTTAAGAAACCTTTAACCCTTGTGGCTAAGAATCTCCCTTTGCCTTACAAACATAGCTGGGGGTAGCAGAGGAAATTCTGAAAAAACTAAATTTTATTTCCATTATATAATTAAAGTCCAGAATCTATTGGAATACACTGACTGTGAATGACTTTCCATGGTAGATTAGTAGATGGGTGATAGGATTAGAATTAACAGAGATACCTTAATAAAAAGGGATGGCATAATTCCTCACTAATGTAGCTCCTTCAGATCAGTATTGACCTGGAAGCTCTCATAAACTATATCCTCTTTGTGACTGTGCGTCTGTGTTACGATAGTAACAGAACTACTCTGCTTTGTTCAATAAAGCTGTTAAAAGGCATGCATTTGAAAACGAGGAACTCAAATGGAATTGGAATATGTTTCACAATCACATAGCCCAACACAATCCGAATGCATAAAACAATATCAGAAAGAGAATATGGCAAATGCTCCACTGAACAAAGTATCTTTAAACAAGGAACTTTTAAAACATCTGTGCAGCCTATGAAAGGCCAGAAAAAATAGTGCTATTGCCTGTAATTATCATGTATTTTGGCATCTATCCATACAGAAAGGAAGTCAACACATACAACCACACTAAGGCATTCAAATAAAGACTTAAAGGCACACTTGAAGAGCTCCTAGTATTATCTTATTCCATTTATGGTTCAGGACTTAGTGAAGATATGAGTGATAAAGAGGTTTTCATAGATCATATTTAACAAATCTGGTATACTAGAAGCATACTGGTATCATTGCTACTTTTGCAATAACCTTTCCTCTATACAAAGACCAAGAACACTTGGTTCGGTCAATTGTATGCTAGATATGCAGTCTTAAAGAATAAATCACCTTTTGCTTAAAAATATATATTGCAGTGGAAACATTAACTGCTTGAATCTGTTAAATTGGATGCTTCAAAAGATTAATGATTGGTGAATATTTTAGAAAGCCAAATCATTTATATTACTAACAAAGTCCTTTCACTGAATTCCTTCCATAAGTTGCTGCTAAACACACACTTTTTAAAATATAAATTGGCTCTTAATTAATCAAGAGCTCTGCATGATGGTTGCAAGAGAGTACATTTGAGGAGACTTCATCAGTCCAATTTCTAAACCTGATCAGTACACTGCAAATCCATGGCCCATCATATTACAAATTCAATGTAAGGCAGCAACACATCAAAATATATTCTTCATCTATAAAGTAATATTTTAATTAGGAAAATGTTGAAACTAAAAGATCTACATGCACATAAAGGTTTTAAACCATTAGCTCAGTAATACATTACGGCCAACCAAACTTGTTTCCTATTCTACAGTCAACATGTTTTGAAACTCTAAAGTCAAATAACATAGTAAACATCTGCACACTGTTGAGTAAAATGTCCACGGATCTTATTTGACCACACATGTGCCATTATTTTCAAGTTTTAAACGTTGTGTTCCATAAATATCTACTCCTGGATTTCACTGTGTAAACAAACTTTTCTCTTAAAAGGAGTTAAATATCCTGGGTTTGCAAACAAAATAAGTGTGCAACAACCTCTACATGACCTCCTTGCCTAATTTATTTGCACTCATTTTCAATGCAAGACTGATTATTCTTATTAGCTTGCATGCACCTCAGACACCAAAAATACTTCCATCAAAATATTGAACATAATTGACTTGGAATAAAACTGATGGAGACAACACAATCAGTCATAAGATCCCAATGAATACAACACACTTTACTCATTCACATAGTAACTCAGTTACCAAAGGAAAAAAGGACCATAATGAAAATAAAATTAACTTTTTTAAATCAGTGAACAAGATTTTTTTTTTTAAGTACGCAAGATTTTCCCCAAGCCTGTACTCTCATTTCTTTGGTAATCCAATAGCTTCTTGCTCAACAGTAATATAGAAACTGTAGACAATTGTGTGCCAGCACAACCACAATATGGAAACTGATTTGACGTCACAATCAGCGCCACACTTTGTAATTTATTTATTTTGTTTATCTCTTGTAATGGTTCGGAGCATCTGCAAATGCAAACTTCAATCTGTAGGCTTCAGCAAGGAGAACACTGATATCTTCGTTTCCCCAGTGCATTGTAGGCAAATTCTGTAAAAAGATGAGTAGTTCCTTGTGGGAAGAAAAAGAGAAAGAAATCAAAAGATGTATTTTGTTAACTTCACTGGTTACTTTTGCAGTATCAATCTAAAACTACAAGACTGGATTCACCAAAGGTGAGTTCTTTCTAGGTATCTACAAGTATATCTATAAAAACACAACTAAAATATCTGTGGAGATTCTCAGTCATCCAGGTTATGGCTGTCCCAAAGGTGCTTTTATTAAGAGGCAACCGGACTTGAGCTGAAGAAGCTTCTTGGATGAGAAGCTAAATGTCTTCAAAGAAAAACCAGAAAGTCCATTTGCCTCTTGAAAAAAGCACCTTGGGCACAACTAAAATAGTGAGCATGTCATTTGTGATTCAAGATAAGATATCCTGACAGCTTTGGCCTATCCAATGAAACTGCATGGCCACATAAATAAAGCAGCAATTCAAAGCAGAAAAAAAGCAAAGCAAATTCTATTTACGTATAATAGAATAAAAAGAGAAACTCAATCTCATTGGGTAATGGCAAAAAACTGTTTCTTTAATTAATCCTCTTTCATTTGGAATGAACTAATCCAGATCTTCCTGCACACCCAAGTATTGTTATGTGTTAATTTCATATACAACTAAAATTGATCTATGGAAACCTTATTCTAATATATTATCCAGTACTGTCCAGACAATATGGAATTATGGAATATATACTACAACAACTGCTCCAAAGATAAGTACATTTAAGAACTGAGAGATAGAAATCTGAAAAAAACAAATAATTTGCTAACTCAAACAGTGGCAAATAGATTTTGTTTCGCTAGATAATTCATGCTAGCTTAACTGTTGCTCGCTATCTGTTTTCTCAAATGGCTAAGCACTTTATTTCTAAGAATAAATTTGTTCTCAGGAATAAGATACAACATAACCTGTAATAATATTATCCAGACTTATTTTAAAAACTTGAAAAGCATTTGTAAAATGAATTCTTTTAAGACTAAGCCAGCTATTAATAGTTAGATATCCTAATACTGACATGGACTAGCTGTAAAAGAAAACAAACAATGTGTCAGCTTTATATAAAAGTAGAATAAATATTAAACCAAAGTTTGAAGTAATGCCAATAGAAGTACACTACTGTAATGAACTGTTGCCATGACTTAATGTACAAAATATGAATGCTTTTTTCTGACATATATGATACATGCAAGATGGGTATCTCTCTAAAACAAATGGGTAAATCATCTCTACTTTCATTTCACACAAGCCAACATGAGAACAAAAGTAGGGACTTGCCCGATTAGATTACTCTTTTCCCTCCGGAAAGGTGGAAATGATGGAAAAAATACTAGTGAGCACCAGCATTCTGAAAGATTCAGAATAATGACCTTCGCTAATGTTTTTGACAGATTCAAGGTCGGCTCCTCCAGTGCCAAGGAGAATGCACAGAGGAAGGAGAAATCTCTCCCAGGCTGGAGGAACAGATCTAAATCTGAACTTACAACCTTCCTTGCTAGCTTCTCCACTGACTTTCTGGGGAACCAGCAGAGAAGTTTGCAAAGCCAAACACATGACTGCAGAGCTCTCGGCCACCAATGGGAAGAGGTTTCCGAGCATATAAAATGGTCACGTGACCCCCCCCCTTTTTTGGTCAAGTCTATATTTTAAAAATTGGTATAGATTTTACGGAAGTTTTATTTCTCCTTTTTTTCTTTATTTCTCTCTCCCCACCCTACAGTGGTAAATAAATCACATTTGTGTAGCACACTGTATCATATTGATCAAGCAATCCACAAGTTTCATAGAACGCATTTTTATTCTTGTATACTAAATTCATGCTGCCTTTAAAAAGGTCATTATCCTTTAGAACAATTTTATATTCTGACCTGGATTTGCACAGTATTACTTTTTATGTCCATCTTCCTCCATGCTACATTTGACAAGGTTTCCAGAATAATTCTAAACCTCAAATGAATCCGTAAAAACAGTTTATATAGATGATTTCTTTGACAATTTTGTTACTAGTTGGGGAGGAAAAATACTAGCCAAAATCTGGATGACCTAGCACCAAAAATAGAAAAATAAGTGATAGTTATATTTTGCCTCAACTGTCAGCTTTTTCAATTGGTCAGCTAGGACTGACAGCTCCCAAGAAGGTGAAACCAGGAAGGTGACATTTTGACAGAGCAAACTTCCATTAAACTTTCAGACAAAACAAGGGACTGCCTTAAGATGCAGAAAATAAAGTTAACAAATTAAGGGAATATTATTCACCATGTTAATATTTCAAAAAGGAATGCAATACTATAGATTTTCAAAGTGGTGCAAACTGGGCTAGAATTAATTAACATTTCTTTTGAGGGGCTTGCAAGAACTGTTATAAAGTTGACATTTGAGGCTGGTACTTTCCTTTGGAGCATGTCAGTTTTTCATATAATTAAGTTCTTAATTAGAAAAAATATTTTTTAAAAAGGTAATGAAAGTAAGATTGAGCAGAAAGCCCCAAAAAAAGTATTTATGTCTCTAATAGTGTTTCTGCCTTCCCTTGACTTTCAGTTCAATAAAACTGAGGTCAGAAATAATAATGCCCAAGAGGGGGAGGAATTATTTGGGTCAATTAGTTGATCTGGTGAGGCAAACAATAAATAACTGTAATGCTTGCAAGGCCTACATAAGTTAAGCAGGCAGCTGGATTCTCCTACTAAATTAGACATTATTTAAAAAAACAGTAATATTTTATAGACTAACCGAAACAGGGGACTCAAGAGGAAGTCTTGTAATTCAAATGCTTTTTAATTGGTGAAGAGAATATCAAGGACGTGTCAATAAAATTGAGTACTGACATTCATTGGTACAACAGCCTCATTACATAACTCTCTTAAAAGGGGGGGCATATAATGGCAAAGGCTGAATAAAAATTGATTTGGCATTAAAAGAGAAAGACTTTTATGCAAAATGTGTAGGACGGAAGGAAGGGAAAATGTGATACCTATTTATGAAAATGAACGAGGTTACTTAATGGAAGTACAAATAAAGTAAGTTTAGCATCCTGGCTTTTAACGGCACTGTAAAACCCAGTTCTAGAAAGCAGAATGCCATTCATAGCAACCTAACTGCTTTACATTAGGTGGCAAAACAAGACATATTTACATGGATTGTTTTCCATCTTGCTGTTGCAGTGTAACAGTTTAGCATTTAGTGAATCATAAAAGAATAGATGCAATTTAAAAAAAGGGGGGGGGGGAAGAAATGGTAAACCCCCTTTTCTTCTGTCAATTTGTCTGAAAAAAAAAGCATGTGTCACTTTATTTCATATTATCCATTTTATACCCCAAGTTTCCCCCCTCTCCATTTTTCTTTGGAGGGTGAAGGCTGATTTGCTCTCATCAGCAGTTGTGATTGAATTTGCTGCAACTACGGCATTGGTGATTTTTGTTTTTATTTTCAGTAGAGGCTACAAAGCCAGTAATTGGCATTGTTATTCAGATTTCTACTGCAGAAAGAACCACAAAAAGAAAACAAATTTTCTTTAGAGCAAGGCTTCTCCAGTGGCAGCTATGAATTACCAACCATCCCACCCCTCCAAAAAAAAGAATCACTGCTAAGACATTTAACCGTACTTTGGATAGCTTAGGTCACCTAAACTGCAACTGTCAGAAAATCCTTTAGAAAATGGAAAATATCTACAATTTGAAATACAGCAATTCTTTGGTGATTGTTATTAAAACAACTAAAAATTATTTGAGTAAGGGGGAAAAAGTTCATCGGAAATTCACAAATAAACCACAAATCTGACTATGAACATGACCTAGAAATTAATTAGAATGCACTTAGAATTAACAGAGTGGGAAGGGGGTCTTAGAGATCTTCTAGTCCAACTCACTGCTCCAGCAGAAGACCCTATGCTACTCCAATAGTTGCCCAAGACCCGATACTATTCCGAACAAAGGTTCCTTGCAAACCTCCAGTGATGAAGCGCCCACAACTTCTGAGGGCGAGCTGTTCCACTGATCGTTTCTGACTGTCAGGAATTTTCTCCTAAGTTCTAGGTTGCTTCTCTCTTTGATCATCTTCCATCTGTTACTTCTTGTCCTGCCCTCAGGTGCTCTGGAAAATAGGTTGATGCCTCTGTGACAGCCCCTCAAATATTGGAAGACTGCTATCCTGTCATTCCCAGTCCTTCTCTTTCTTAGATGAGGCCTCTCTAGTTCCTGCAACCGTTCATCACAGGATTTAACCTCCAGTCCCTTAATCATCTTGGTTGCTCTTCTCTGCACTCTTTCTAGAGCCTCAAATACTTTATTGTATCTCGGAATTGGACACAGTGTTCCAGTGCAGTATAAACCAAGGGTTACTATCCAATATCTAGAGCTGCATTGGCTTTTTGGACAGCTGTAGCACACTGCTGGTTCATAGTTAAGAGGTTGTTCATTAGGGCATCTAGATACTTCTCAGAATTGCTGCTGTGCAGATTCCAGAGTGGGGACAATGCAGTACTTGAACAATCTGGAATGTGCCAGGACCACATATTGGAATTTCAAGCCACACACAATGAACGATATCTTCCTTACTTACTTTCAGCTTTGAAAATGCAACCTTTAAAAGTCAAATTACAACAGCTAAGTCATTTTTTTTTTTTTTTTTTGGAGGCATTTTAAGGAACTCATGCTTCTGGAGAACTTTTAGCAGCAGGATTTATTAAATCTGCCAATATTGTATTTTGGGTAGTTAATATGTTTTAACCCATCTTAAAACCGTTAAATTAAGAAAGAAAAGCAAAAAAAGATGAGAAACAATACATTAAATGATACATTCCATTTATTGCACAGGTCTTATACATATGTACATTTGCTTGACAGAACAATACAGTATGTGCAATCTAAGAAACATCCTATGGACAGACGAGGCTTAAAATAACAGAGAAGCAAACAACTCTTGAACTTGTTTAAAAAAAAGAAGAAGATATGAATGAATTCCTTCAGGATTGTCAGAAGCCAACAACTTAAAATAACAACGAGAGCTCCAGACAGGAATA